CACTCTCTTTCATGTTCCTCTTTGTCTCCTGTTGGTGATGGTGGTGCTGAGAGGTAGTTTATGGAGGGAAGGGCAGAAGTGCATCGGATGCCTTACCTCCGCGACCGGTGCTGAACGCTCCATCACCGTGGCTGCCCTCGGCGCCTGCTCTGACGACTTCTCCGTCAACGTACTTGGTGTCGTCGGGGTTGATGTTGCCGGCGCCGCCACGGCCGTGAGATACTTCGGGTCCTGTCATTGTAGTTGTTGGTCGCTAGTGGTCGGTGGTCTGTTGTCGATGCTCGTAGATGTCAAAGGAGAAGGATCCGTCGTCGATATGTTCAGTCCCAGAATGTTCGTCGAACTTGAGATGCAGTGTTGACGGGAGGTGCGGGAAGGAGGGTGACTCGAAGGATAATGAGTCGGACAATGCCGTCTTATAAACATTTCCAAACGTTTTTGCGCTGATCATCCGAGTTTGTTCACAGCTCGCGCAGCCAACCACATGCAAAAGAGAGGTTCTCGAAAGGGGATAACAAGGAACGAACAAAAAGCAGCTAGGATACTTATCTATCGTCAATCTTGGATCGCCCAAATCTGCACTATGCACTACATCATCGAACCCAAAACGGTGTTCCCTAACCGATCTCGCCGATATCTCCCTTGACACATGATGGGCGGCGCGCGGGATAAGGAAGGGCAATGCTGGACGGGAATTGCCTGGACGGATTCCTTGGATTCCCTGCCAAGAAATCGAATCCGAAAAGTGGCAACCACTCAGCATCGTCCGTCACAGTGGCACACACGAAACACCATTACGTTTATCTCCAGCCCTGAATCTTTCTGGTGATGGATTATCGCCCGTTCTGGATGCCCTCCTACACAACGTGCAGGCGGGAAGGACGGGAGGGTGGAAGGCGGGGAGTGCGCTGAAGAAAGAGACTGGATGCAAAAGTGCATGGAGGCTGGGCGGAAGGAATCTTCTTCCAGATGTACTTTGACATCTCATCGGGGGTTTGACATCATCCGTACAGTACTTCGATGATCTTGGTCCTCCTAGGGGCTCTTTCCATGAAAGGGCCATTCACATCTATGATGGCGAATTCTTGGTTGGAGTTGGAAAGATCGATGGAAGTTCAAGTGCAGTGGCCCTGCAGCAGGTACAGGACGGTCGACCCTTCCGCTCTCCGCTTTCGGTCCGTGTTCAGCTAGAGGCCATTGATAAGATAAGAGCTCTTCCAGGTTCCCGCTTTGCAAGGTAAACATCAACGACGTCGTCCATTTCTCTTCCTGTCATCAATTCTACCCAGTTATTCACTACCACAACAAATTCTGCGTTTTCACTCAGTCTTTTTCAACTTGTCTCTCGTTAGGTGAGGACTATGGAGACGATGGCGAGGCTAGAGGACTGGTTCCGTTGTACAGAGGGTGACACCCAAGGTCTTTGTGGTACCTAGGCTATTCAGCTCTGCCTTGGCTCTTTTTCTTTTTACGTTAAGTTTCTTCTAACTGGCCATTTCCCCTCATTTGGCCCGTGGTTTCGGATTCGACGTCCTGAATGACAACCTCAGCACCTGTGCCCAGACCCCCAAAACTCGTCAACATATTCGACAAAAGGCTCTCTCCCCTCTGGCAAAACAGCTCGTGGTGCTAGACGAGACAATCAATTCGGAAGCCGGGGATCGACCGCCGACTGTCCCCGCATATTACAACACGCCTGAGATTGAGACTACGTCGCCAGTGAGCATGTCGACAAGGTTGTGCGCCATGTGCAATGCCATCTTCACCGGGCTTCTGGTTAACACGATGAAAATGCCTCATCATCGGTCTGTTGCCAGTCTCAGGCGATCCGCTGAGAAAGGATGCTATATCTGCATTTTTTTGGTTGCCTCCATGCCTCAATACAACATCAATGATAGTGGTGCATTCTCGTGGGGTTTGAATATGGTCCATGAAGGAACACGTCGGATCTTCGGTCCCTATACAAGTTATGGACAGCTCTCCATCCAGTCCATCTCTCATTCTTTTTCATTCAGTCTCTTGGATACAGCAGGTAAGTCTACGGCACATTCTGACAAAGTCAGAACCAGAGTGGGGACCTTGCATGTAATAACCCTTCGCAAATATAGGTCCGAATGCGCCGATTAATCCTGTTAATCCTGGTGCCAGCCTTGCTGATCAAGCAGTCATGGAAACTGCAAGATCCTGGCTAGAAAACTGTCGCCATAACCACGCATTGTGTCGACCAGTTGACCCTGCCTTCAACCCTACAAGACTCATCTACATCCACAACGCGTCCTCGGTACAGCTCATTGAAACCAAGAAAGAGGCAAACAGCCAGCATTACGTTGCTTTCTCACATTGTTGGGGGAAGTCCGAGACTCTCAAATTACTCCAAGACGACCTAGACAAAGGGACGAAAGGCAACATCGAAGAACTACGTTCACGCATCCAGGTTCAACGTTTACCGACCAGTTATCGGGAAGCAATCTCCGTCAGCCTAGCCCTTGGATTTCGTCACATTTGGATTGATTCGCTGTGCATCATACAGAATAGCCATGATGATTGGGCCAAAGAGTCCGCCATGATGAAGGACGTGTATGCCAACTGTTCTCTCAATCTTTGCGCTTCAGCTGCGGCAGACGCTTTGGAGGCGAGCTTCCAGCGCAGGGCGCTAGGCATGATTGTGCCGTTGGATATTGAACCCCACTGGACTGGCTTTCTCCGTGGCGTTTACAATCTGAGCAAGATTAGTCCACTTCCATCACATCTCCGTCAGATCAAAATCAAGCTTGTGAATGAAGATATGTACCAATCAGAGATACTCCACTCACCACTCAATCTACGCGCTTGGGTTGTGCAGGAACGCGTTTTATCCAGACGTCATCTCCACATGACTTGCAACCAGCTCTGGTGGGATTGCCGCCATATATGTGCCAGCGAAATGTTTCCAGCAGGGCTGCCCATTGGCGAAGATAAACGTGACAGGGAATATGAAGAAGAGAGGGTTCGATACTATGCATTAAGCACTTTTGGCCCTCATTCTCCCCATCACGGAGCGGTACTGGATGGTTCTCCGGGAGGCCAAACGGAGAGTACTGGAGGCGAACTTGCCCGGCATTCACCGTTTAAAAAGCCGTCAGAAGTTGACATGGACAAGCTATGGGGCAGCCTCATCGAGCGATACTCCCGCTGCAATCTAACCTATTCACCTGATAAGCTACCCGCGCTATCGGGGCTTGCACAGAGCTTTACCATCCTACAAGGCCCAGACTTTTCTCTTGACAAGAACTCTTATCTCGCTGGCATTTGGCGACCTCATTTACCATACGCTTTATGTTGGTATTCAGAATACGGTATAGGCGGCAAGCTTTGCAACTACCGGCCCCATCCCTACCGTGCCCCCTCCTGGTCTTGGGCGTCGGTAGAGGGCCCGGTCGCCGCGGAAAGAGAATCGAGTATACCGGTCTGCTCTGTAGTGGATGTCAAGGTACTTTACGAGGACGAACGGTATAAGGCTGGTACGGTAAAAGGTGGTATCTTGAACTTGAGATCCCGTGTGATTGGACCTTTCACCTACGAGAAGTCAGAACGATGGGACTTAACAACAAGTCCTTCCCTAGATAGCCGGGTTAGGGAGGCTATCTGGGCTCGGCCTTTCCCATGTTTTACTCGTTGGGATGAACGTGATGGTGTTTCCGGAAAGCATTTCATCAGCTACCTTGATCCGCTTCCACAGACTGTGCATAAGGACGGAATCGTAAAGGGCACAGGCTCGGTGCGGAAGAGGGTCCGGCTCGAGGCGTTGACTGACGGACTGCGCATGCGAATTTTCCTTGTCCCTATTGTTTTGCAACCTAAAATAGGATGGTGGGGGGGGTTTGCCGGCTTAATTGTCTGTCAAGTCGTCAACGACCCAGGACTCGAAGGTTTCGATGACGGTGCGGTGTGTCAGCGTGTAGGGTTGTTCGACAACCTGGACATTGACGATGAGGTGCTACTTCTTGTCCCGGGGAGAACGATTGCCATCATATGAGCACATGTAGTCAGAACAAGGACAGCTTTTTCTCTGCCTACAACCAACATCTTTTGTCATCAACCGATCTGTCTCCGTTACTTGCTCGAAAAAGATACCTACCGTATGTCAACAGGAAAGAAGGAGTGGTTCCAGAATCTCAAGTCAATCAATCACCTCGCAATCGCCTCACTCACAGTCTCAAACTCTCTCAAGGGAGAATGACAGATGGACAGTCCACAAAGCTTGACGGCGCCCGACCGATCTGAACTAATGCGACGATGTCCAAGTTACCATTTGTTCTAAAGGAATGTCCAAGGAATAAATTTACCTACTACGCATGGAATAAAGTAAAGGCCTGTATAGGTAACAAACAGAGTTCTGCCAACTTTGTGTCTGTGTCAAACTGCAACCGCGAAAAATTCCATGCCTCATATCCCCCCCCCCCCCCGTGACCAACGACAAGAGACTAGATCGCAGATACCACCCCCACCCAATCCCATCTGCACCACCCAACCTTTTCTACAAACACATCATTTGATTGCACTTGGAAAAAAAGTATCACAAAACATACTTTATGACACGAAAAAGCAGAGACAGAACCCGATGAAAAGAGGGAGTGACCAAATTGATCCCCCATCATCCAGGTATATTGGTGGTGGTGGTGGTGATTCCGTTGTGTGGTTCATAAGCCCACTTCCGCCAACATTTTCTTACCAACAAACTGAAAAACTAAAGGCGCGATGACCGAGTGGCCTAAGGTGTTTAACTCGAATTAAGCGTCGAGGTGCAATCAAATCGCATCAAGGTAGTTGTGTATCGTCGATGTATACTATGGTGTGATGGAGCAGGTCGAAGCTTTGGCTGTGGTGGTCCGTCCGTGCAAGGTACCTGCCCGACAAAAAGGGGGGTTTTACTTTGGCTCGCAACGAACCGCAATAGAAATACAGTCAACCTGTTCTATATAGGTGGATTGTTTGGTGTTAAACAATAACTAAAATCGAAAGGCACGATGACCGAGTGGCCTAAGGTGTTTGACTCGAACTTACCATTCGAGGTTTATCAAATCTCTTCGGAGGCGCAAGTTCGAATCTTGTTCGTGTCGATTTTTTTTTGCACGTTTTTGGGGGGTTTTTGGGGTGTTATCTTGGTCTTGGTGATTGTTTGTTAGTGAGAGATGGTTGGAGGATACATTTTTGGTGTTTTGTTTTGTTTCTGATGGCATTAGGAGGTGTGGCATATACCGGGTCCCGGCTGGTGGGAGAATGGATGGTCATGTTCGGCGAGAATACCTGACTGGGAAGGAACCTCTGGTCATGATTTAAAATCGGGAAGGAACCAGTGTTACGAGTGTACAAGTCACGGTGGAAATCGGGGTAGTGTATGGCTGACCGACTCATTTGCCGAACTGCCTAATCTGCATCGACCACAATTCTTTCCTGCTCGGATGCAAAAAGAGAAACAAAAGCAAATAGGTATCTCAAGCAACAAAATCGCCTTGAAACAACCAACTCCCTTCCAGGTTTCCCATCATGTAAATGCCTGAGCATCATTCAATTCATTCCCCAGTATTATTCCTTCCAGCCTTTCGCTGATCCGTCACACATTCACCCTCCCAGTCCCTTCCGAGCACCTCTCCTAAATAGACCTCCTCTCTCTCTCTTCCCAATCAGAGTACCTCTAGAGGCAAGTATCAGATTCAAACCGCCGGCCAACGAATCTCATACTCACTAACCGTCCCCGAACTCTTCTTCTTCAACTCACTAACCTCACCCGCACTCAGTGCACCCCTAAACCTGGCCCCATCACTCCTACCCAACACCTTAACCGACATCCGTCCACCATCATTCCCATCCATGAACAACGCGACCTTGATAGGTCCATCACTCGGCCTGCGGAAATAGTTCGGATCGCCGAAACCAAGGGGGTTAAGATGGAATGTGGAAAGCGCCTTCTCATCGTGCTTATTGACCACCTCGAAGATGTCAAACTCTCCGCATCCGAAATTCCAGCACGAGCACTTGTCGTACTGTTGTTGGGTGTACGGGATTCGTGCGTTAAGAAGCCAGAGCGCGGGTTTGTCGTTGGGATCGGAACCGTCGGCGTTGGGAGGGGAGTGTGGCATCGAAAACTCGAAGAGGAACATGCGGTTGGGACCGGGGAAGCCTTTGCGGGCTGCGGCGCCGGGTTGGATGTATCCGCATGATCCATCGTCGCACTTTTGGTCCGTGAACATGGAAAAGTCAGCGGTGTCGGAGACGGTGGTGTCTGCCAGGATGTTGGGTTGACATACTTGGTGAAAACACCGGAGCCGGCAGTACCACCGAAGTTACCCATGAACGTGATTCCCTCGGCTGTCTGGCTCTGGGCATGGTAGAATCCCTTGCGGGAGTAAGGGCCGTCGCCATTGGGTTGGTAGAAAGCCACCTGCTTGAGGTGGAGAGGACCGTGGAAGTGGAGAGAAATCTGGTGAAGTATCAGTAACATGCTCTCGTGGCCATGTGAGAAACAATGGGGCATATGAGAAGCTTACCGGTTCGTTAAAAGGAGCCAACTCGCCGCTCCAAGCTCTGGTCGCCTTGTCACAGCGACCAGTGTCAGGATCCATGAACGTCACGGCCTCGTAGGTGCCGCTGCCTCTGCCTGAGACCTTGGTGTACAGGACTTGGTCGACCTGGGAACAGAACCAGGTGCCCTGCTCGTCACGACCGGTGTTCTTGCAAAGATCGGAGCTGCCAGTTTGCGCGTTAAACGGATCGGTATCAGGGGAAACCGAGTGGGGGTTGTTGTTCGAAGAGTCGGGACCGGCGTGCGCACGGGGAACAAAACCGGAGACAGAGAAGGTAGAGTTGAAGGAGTTGGAAATGGCGGCGGAGTTGGTAGTACCAACAATGGAGAGCAAGGCCAACAAGGCCGGAATGGCTCTCATGACTTTGATGGTTCCGAAAGCCATTGTTGTGGTTCCTCGAGGCGATATCTGGACGGATGCTTGTTTCTCGAAGTTCGAGTGGATAGCTGTTCTCCAGATGCTGGTGAGGATTTGAAATGGAGGAAGTGGTGGTAGAACTGGTTCTTTTATACTAGCCCTGGAAGAATTCCACAACTCCACCCAAAATATCCAAGTACACTTCACCAAGCCATCGCCACCCGTTACGGCCACAAGTGAAGGCATCTCCAACCTTGCCAGCCGTCCACACTTCACTTTGCCCAGAAGTTCGGGACGGAAGTGGACCAGAAAGCGGGAGTGAACGGGCATTCTAGCCCAAGTTAAGGGGTTCTGTCCCGCAACCTTCATGCCAAGATATCGTCGAGTGTTCTGGACCGAACGGCAGCGGTCGTGAAGGGACCTTTGGATTCGAAGGTTCGGGATTGTGGGGACTCCCGTCCCTTTGGCAACCGGACGGCATCAAGTGAATGGGTGAAGTGGAAAATCTCGAAGGTTTTGTTAGCGGGCTGCCGCCGGCGTGCCGTCCAGCACGGAAGAGCTCAGGGGTTTTGTTCACTGGTAAGGGATACTAGGAGAGATGGCGGGCGGTTTGATATAACGGCTCCGGGGGCAATCAGGAAGCATGTCTTTGACAGTCGGCACAGCAAAGCTCCCGGCAAAGCTCACAAGTGACAGAACACTGGGGAAAGTCCACTGTCACCGCACCGATGCAGACGAGGGCCGACGGTCTAGAACAATGTCGCTGGTGGTTATGGCTGGCGGAATCCTCATGAATACGGCCCAGCCCATACGTACGAGCTTGAGCGATACCTCACGTTGGGGAGGCCGGCCTGGGTACGACCCTTCTCGTGTTCGAAGGAGGCCTTACTCATGAGTGACTCATTTAGATCGAAGAATTGCTGCCCATTCTCCTATCGGACCATGTCAATAGTAATGTCGTCGTGTTCGGACATGAAGCTCCCATGTTCCAATTATTCAAAAGACGGTTCGTTACACGCGAGTGCCCCAGAGGCACTACCTACTCATCCAAACGGGGACGAGATAGCTTTCGTGCTCCATGTTCGCGTCAATGTTCATATGACATGCTTTGGCGTCGTTACATTTTCGGAGCACGCAGATGTAGAGAAGAAGTCAAAACTGGAAGTGCTCTCACGGTTCTATTGGGTCTCGTATCACCAGCTTCAAAGGTTGGGTCGTTCCCCTCCAAGTCGCTGTGACTAGTAGGTACCGTACTTCTTTTCCTCTTCGCTGCTTTGCTCCGTGGTTGTAGCCAGACCCGAAAACCGGTCGTCATCGTCACCTCACTCAGGACTTGAGGATCTTGAAAAACCTGCGATTTTTTTTATGCCTTAAATCTTTTCTCCTGATCCAGATATGCGAAATCTCGCGAGCGACGAAAGACGAGTGCAGGGGCAAAAGGTGGTACTTGGAGGAGCATGAGCGTTGAATTGGAGTGGGCAGGCAATAGCTTCTGTGTCAGTGGTAGGGGACCCTATCGTCCAATTCGAAACATGAAGTTGCCGTCGTGGAGGTCGTGCAGCATGGTTTCCGTCCCTCTTTGCTCTGACTGCTGGGAGTTTGGATTAAGAAAGTGGGCGCTCATGATAGGACTCCGATCACATGGAGGCGTGATGAATACCTCTACTGGTCGTGATATTCTCCTGCGTTGTAAAGGTAGAGATCTGGGTTCAAATGTCTTCATTGGAATGTGCGATGTTGTCGTGTCGTCTTCATGAAGCGACGAAGAACAGAAGCGATGACCGACACCGGAAGGCGCATGTCGGTGACGTAAATGCAGACTCCGCCTTGAGGCAGGAATTGAAGTCAAGCATTGCAGAATGCGGGTCTTCTGCGAGTCAATACAACAAAAGCGATTTCAACGTCCATCAAAATGAGAATCTGTTTAAAAGGGAAGTGCCATTAAAATTCCTACTGCGCGGGCCGGGGTATCTCAAACACAAAAACTCCCAAACGTCTATGCTACCTGTCTGTGCTAATCATCCTTCCTCCCCTTGATTCCCTTTAGACCTTTCCGTCTCTTGCTGCCCGTTTCGAGTACCCCTTAGTGATTGGGATACACGTACTCCGAGACCAAGCCGCTCTTGGCCTTCAGGCCCTCGACCTGGCTGGCGGAAAGGGAGCCGCCGAAACGTTCGCCATTGCTGGCGCCCATATTCTTGATCGAGACGGTGCCACCCTTGGTGGCATCCATCACAACGGCGAGCTTGATGGGGCCGCCTGTCGGGCGTTGGAGCCAGTTGGCATCGCCGGCCGACTTTCCGTCTCCGCCCAAGTGGAAGGTTGAAATAGCCTTCGTCTGTCCTGGGTAGAGAATCTCGAAGATGTCCAGCTCGCCGCATCCAGATGCCCAACAGTTGCACGTATTGTACTGGGCGGTGTTGGGAATACGGGAGTTCAACAACCAAATGGCTGGCTCGTTACCTCCAGCTTCGCCATTGTGTTGCGGCTCGTCCGGCATGGAAAATTCGAACATGAAGACCCGGGCTGAGCCGGGGAAACCCTCTGTGACGGAAGTGGTTAGTGACTGGACTGGAGAATGATCCGAGTTGACAAGAGGGGAAAGGTGACTTACTGTACGTGACTGCGCCGGGACGCCTGTATCCACAGGAGCCATCGCAGGGCTGGTCGGTGGTGACGACAAACTCGGCGTGAGAAACCAGGGGGGCGTCGTGAATAGTTTGCGGGCCTGAAGCACCGCCGAGACCGTCGGCAGAAACGTAAGAAAGCGAGGCACCAAATGGACTGCAAGGCATTGTTAGGTTGTCTGATATATCATGGGAACGTCGGCTGGAAGGGAACTTACCCGCCAGCAACGCCAGAGCCAGCGCCACCGCGGTTACCCAGGAACATGATGCCGTTTCTGGCCTGAGAAGCCGCATGGTATTCTCCGATGCGGTTAGATGAACCGCCACCGCCGGGAGTATAGACGGAGAACTGCTTAAGGCGCAGAGGACCGCGGAAGATAATGGAGAGCTGAGGTGACGGCGGTTAGTATCCAGATCTTATGGTTACAGTGGCTCGAAAGAGAGTGTCTGTTGACTTACAGGTTCGTTGTAAGGCGCAAGGTCACCCTTGAACTCCCTCGGCGAGAACCTGCATTCACCGGACTGATTGTCCATGAAAGTCACTTCCTGATA